GGTGGATCTTTTAAAATGGGACATCCTGTATATATAAAAGACTACAAACTAAGCATATTTACTGTCTATGGGTGTTTCCGATAATACCTCTCCGAGTCATTTCCCTAGAGCAGAAATAAGTTACAGACTATCTACTGCTATTATGTGATTCATAACAACCCAAAGCTACCTAACGCTGTCTCACGACTGCAAGCAGCGGGTTAGGCAGAACAATACCGTGACAAATACACAAGATAATAATTTTGTAAAATTGTATTATTGATTATAAAATCATCTGATGTTGTTTTCTAATAAAATTTTATTTATTCTTAATTAAAGTTATATAACCATTAAAATATATATTATATTTTTCGAATATTATCCTAAAGTAAAAAGTCACACTGTTTTAACCTATTTACAAGTATTGTTTTTACATGACTCGTGCAGGTGCAAGTCCACAATAAATTATGTCATTAGGGTATATTGATGACAAAACAAGATAGATTTGTTTGCACAGTTTGTTTTAAATTGTATGTAATTCTACAAACGTTTCTTAATGCTACTATTTTTTTAACATTATTTGAGTTATTTCTTTTATACTTTAATTACTTGCAGTCGTGAGACAGCATTAGGTAGCTTTGGATTGTCATGAATCACATATAGTAGTAGATGGTGATGTCTGTAACTTATTTCTGCTCTAGGGAAATGACTCGGACAGGTATTATCGGAAACACCCTTAAAGCGATAGTAATTGGGACAGTTATCACTTAATAATCAGTTTTCATGTTTTACAAGTTCACATTTCACGAGTGCAAAAATGTTACACTTGATTACATTTTTCACGAATTCACGCTAGGGAAAAAAATTCATGATCAGCCCCTTGTCACAAATTGTGTCTGTTCAATAGTTAAAGCGGAAAGTTCCATCGAGTCGTCCTCTCTTTTCCCTCTGGATTATATTCCTATATGCTAAAAAGATATCTAAATATTTTCTTAAATATTCTTAAGAAAATATCTTACGAATACCTCGCATTTTAACGTTACAAAAGTGCATGTAATGTTTATTTTAATTTTATATTATATATATATATATAATATTATACTATATATATAAATATATTTTTTTTGTTCTATATATAAATTATATATTTTTCTCTATATTATTTTTTAAATAATATTAATATATATAAAATTTACCTTTATATAGTCCGTGATATAGAAATACAGCGAATATGGACGATATTGTAGGCAGCACTGACAACTATTGGTTACTTGTTTTGATAATATAACCAAGCGGGACGGAATGAATTACTATACAAAATGTTATCTATGCTGTGCGTCATCTTTCACATTTTAGCCAAGTCTGTTGATGGTTTAAAAGTTCACGTGAAAATATTTTTCCTTGCAGGGAAAACACAAATATTCTCACAAACTAAAAATTCACGTGAAATTGTTTAGTTTCTTACGGTTGACGCTAGAGGGATAATATTTATATTAACCGTTATATTTATATACATTATATTCTAATATTTATATTATAGATATAAATTATAATTTTATATTACTTTTCTAATATTTTATACACCATATTTTATGTTTTGCCCTAGAAGGTATGTTACTACATGGTAAGGTTATGTCATATTTCACGTGAACCTTTTTAAGTGAAATTGTGAAAATGTGAAAAGTGGAAAGTACACACAAGATTCACGTGAAAAATTCATGGTCAGCCCCCAGGTCACACAAATGAAGTACAAGTCATGGTAAAAAAATTAACTTTCATTTATTAGCTTACAGACTGTGAAAAGAAAACTTAACGACGACGATGATTCGGCGCCTCTTGAATTTCGAGCCACGCGTTCCTCAAGGCAGTTCATGCTAATAGTCGCGTTGTAGAAGATGAAAAAGAGAAAAAGGAAGAGGAGAGAGGAAGGAAGGAAAGAAAGCGACAAAAGAGGGGAAAAAAGGAGGCAAATAATAAAGAATTAAGTTTCTCGATCATTTGCCGCCAAGTGAAGTCCCGTACACTGAGAGAAGAAATATTTAAAAAAAATAGTAAATATTTGTCTAGTGGATATTGACATATTTATTTATGCTAATACAAAATATTTATTGAACAAGAAAATATACATTTTTATAAAAACCTTAGCCTCTTATGAAAGCAATTATTTATTCTATTTAAATAAAAGAATTTAGCTTTAAGTAAACATGATGTCAATGCCACCACCAAATATTTGCTAATTTTTAGATATTTCTTCTCTTAGTGTAATCGCAGGGAAAGCAGCATAACAATTTCGAAAATTCGCCGATCTTGCGACGATTCGTAAGAAATTCAGTGAAAGGAAAAGAGAGAGAGGGAGGGAGAGGGAGAAATAAATGAAGAGCCGAGGTAACGTTTTAGCATGCATTCCATGCGAATTTCCCCGTCCTTCCGAGCCGTTTCCGAGCATTGTCAAGGTCTGTCGCGGAGGGTCGATAAGACGCCGTCGCCGTGCGATAATGCGCGTCCCATCACGGCGATCTATCGCGGCCGGCGCAGGACGGTAGTCTAGGAACCAACGGACCAACACCCCATGTACTCGCACGAGCACGAGGTCGTGCACGCGCGAGAAGCGTACGGAGGAACATTTTTCCAGGCCACGCCTGATCGGCAGTGACTACCCCATCGCCGGTCGACCGAGTCGAGACACGAAATCGAGTGTGCGGAGAACATATTGATATATGTATATCGAGCAAGGGTCAGCGCGTTTTTCCCCCGTGGAAAACGGCGAGAATGGATCGCATTGTAATTCGAGACGCGTCGTAAGAGGAGAGCGGCGTTCCGAGAGAAGCGTGCTCTCTCAGAAATGTGTTCTAGAAATTCACGCTTTATCGCGTGACAAAATTTCTCCATCTCCCAAGTTCCCAAGTGACCGTATGAATTCATTGACTATTGCCGGAATTGGAGTCTTTCACATGCACGGTAAAATTTCATGATAACGTCAACCTCCTCAGAGATGAATTCATTACAATCAGTAAAAAGTGGCTCGAAGTGACATAAATATACGGAGAGAATGTTATAGTTCTTTCGTTTCGTGTAAATTCTTTTCAATTTTACTATATTTCTAGTGCATGGAAAAATTTTTTTGGGTTGGATTAACCAATTTCTAGTAAAATATGAACGAAATTGTCAGAAATTACCAGAATTCAATTTAAATTGTCAAGATTTCTGTTTAACTTAAACAGGATTATAGTTATTTCGATCTAATTATTTCTGAATCGCTCATATTTCATTAGAAATTTTCAACCAAGTCTTTTTTTCCCGCGTAGTATATTCCCTGCGGGAATATACTGTCAGTAAAGTATATCTCGCTGAGGAACATACAGTAAATTTCACTGGGAACATAGCAAAATTTTATAGCACATTTCGCAGTTCCTAAAATATAAATAACATATAAAACACAAGGATAGTCTCAGTCACTGCAGAATGTCAGTCTATTCCTTGTTTATGAACTTCCATTATTTATTGTTAATTCAGTAATTTTCACCATAAAATTCTCTCCTTGTACGACATTTGCAACAATCGTGTGACTCGAGATTTCCCTTTCTCTTGTGGAATTTCGCTGTAATGCTTGTTATACGTCTACCATATTCGAATTGAAAAATCACACGTATCTAAACACAAATACGCGTCGGTATTTCTGAAAGAAGTTAAATAACGTTTCGACGGCGAGAGTATTTTTTCTCTCAAACGCACTCTCCTTCCTCAGCCGTCGTCTCGATCGATGGTATTCTTAGCGAGCAATAAGCTAAGCTCAGAGGACAGTTTACGCTTCGCATGTTTAATATGTATACGCGAACGTTTGTAAACACACCACCGGTATACATTCGCGATGAGCTCTCCGCCTGTGCTCGCAGCGGGCGTATCGTCCGCGTTCTTAGACTTTTCTGTTTGTGCCTAGGGCGACATCGCCGTCTCTGCGAGAGTATACAGACATATAAAGTATGCTGCCCCTTGCTTCGGGATGCCGAGTATTTATGGAGAATACACGCCACTTAATATTTCGCCGATAAATCCTGCACGGTTTTACCCAGATTTTCGCAGAGAGTTCAATAGATAAAGGGGAGACCTTCTAGAGCTTCCCCTTCTGAGTGATACGAGATCGCGTTTTGGAAAAGCACCCCTATTACGACAATTCCAACTGACGTCTTGACCGCGAAGCGACGAACGAAGAGGAAATTCGCCCACGTTTCCTTTTCCAGCTTTCCCGGATGTCCTTGAGTCGCATCGATTTCCAGGTCGACGCATATCGGCCGATTCGGAAAGCCGGACTGTCATGTATATATGTATATATATCTTACAATCGAACGGTTTTGTCGCTATCAAAGAGAATCATACTTTTAACAGCGGTCTCGTCAGACCTCCGAACGTTCAAAAGTCCACCCGAACTCAGCGACCACCGATTTCGACTCTCGATTCGATCGTCGTTGCGAATGAAAGCTCAGAAGTACCCCTCCCTGTCCTTCGGAGCACTGGAGATCAATTCCCGTCTCTTCCACACCGACTGCGCCGGCACCCGCTGGTGCTGCGTGGCCGTAATCGTCGAGGAGGAAGAGGACGACATCGTCATCGACGACGCGGATGTCGCGCTCAACGATGTCTTGCCGGCGAGAGTGTTGGCATCCGGTATGTGACGTGTCTGATGCCTCGAGTCCGTGTACCGCCTCTTCGTGTACTTTTTGCTCTCGCTGGAGGTCACCGACGAGTTCTTGCCCGTCTGCAAGGCCACAGGGTCGATATCCGGCCGCGCGATCTGCAGCATTCTCTCGATATCCTCGGTCTTGGACCTGAATCACGCGAGGGCGCGCATTTGCCTTACTCGAGCTCGCGGAACTGCCGAGGATTTTACTGATCCTGGCGATTCGCTTTGCGAATTTTGCGCACTCCAGCAGTTAGTAAATCGTGAGTAGTTGATGAACCGCACGGAATGGGTGAAGCAATTTATCATTCACTCAGTCCATGCGATGCAATTCTTGCGGGTTAGCATTTATTACAAAACCAATGGATATTCGTGAGAAATGTTAGCTTCCTGATAATATTAATCGCACCATCGAATGGCTGATTCATTGAATCATCTGACAAATCGAAAACTCGAGGCTTTTTATCGTTATACTTTTACGAACAATTTCAGAACGTTATCGTGGGACATATTTTTGTAAAACGATATCTTATAGATGTTTCATCTCTAAAATCAATGATCAATGTGAAGAAAAAAAGAATAAAACATAACAGCCAATGTATACATATAAATTGGCACGCAAATCAAGATATCATTTGCTAATAAATTAAAGTGATAAATAAATAAATAAATAAAAATGATATCTACACTAATAATTACATTACAAATTGTTTATATAGAGTGTCTGATAACAACATATAAAACTTGTGCGTTTAGATTAGGTCAAGCTGAACAAAAAATTCTTCAACCATTTTGATCTTGATTATTGATGATGACTCTATATATTAAAAAATGTTCGGGAAAAATTTGCTGCGTTCAGCAGAGAAAGTTACTTTGTAATTGTTATAAAATTTGTGAATTCGTCTGGTGTACTACTGTGTCCAAAAAGTAAAACCAGTTTTCAATTTAAATCGTGCGGGTAAACCTCACATCATAAATATTTTTTTTCTAAGTTGGCAGCATTGTGACAAACATCTGTGACAAATTTCATGTCAAAACATTCATTACTTTTTGTTTTACGCTTGGTTTTGTACGACGCTAAAAGTGCATTCGGCGATTTTTACAATGTCTAATTATATTGAGCAAAGAAGTTGCATTAAATTTTGTTTGCGGAATGAAATTTCGGGTGCAGAAACGTTCAGGATGTTGCAGAAAGCATTCGGGGACCATGCTTTGTCGGAAAGGAATATTTACAAGTGGTATAAGCAGTTCAAAGAAGGTCGTGAAAGTGTTGAAGACGAAGAGCGTTCCGGACGACCATCAACCTCTACCGATGAACAACACGTCAAGAAAATCGAAGAACTTGTGCTTGCTAATCGTCGAATGACTGTTAGAGACCTTGCTGATGCTGTTGGTATTTCGAAAGGATCTGCCAATACTATTTTGAAAGATATTTTGGGCCTGAAACGTGTAAACGATAATGCACGATAATGCACCTTCTCACACTGCACTCGTTCTTCGTGACTTTTTCGCCAAAAATTCGATCCATATCGTTCCACAACCACCGTATTCGCCTGATTTAGCACCGTGTGACTTCTGGCTATTCCCGAAACTCAAAAGACCACTGCGGGGAAATCGTTTTGAGACGATAGAAGAAATACAACGTGAATCGCTACGCGCTCTGAAAGCTATCCCGGAAGGCGATTTTAATTCTTGTTTCGAGAACTGGAAAATACGTTGGCATAAGTATATTGTGTCGGGAGGGGATTACTTTGAAGGCGACAAAATAGATTTGGAAGAATAAATAAATATTTTTTGAAATAAATAAAAACTGGTCTTACTTTTTGGACACAGTAGTATGCTCTTAATCCTGACTAAATTCACATACTAATCAGATTTTATGGATTTATACTTATGGATTTTACATTAGTTGCAAAGCAGCTTTCTCTGCTGAACACAGCCATCAGACGCGAAAAGGTGACAGTGCCATGCATCTGCACGTCGGTAAAGAGAAGTCGATAACGAAGGATCGTCCAGAACTCCACGTTATCATATCTTGTCGAACAGAATGAGTCGCGTGAAAACTTTTGGTTCAGAGTTCGCACGGTACAACCGCATGCAGGCAAGCAGGCAGGCAGGCAGGCAGGCAGAAAGGGAACAGGATACTCACCTCAAAACCGCACCGCCGATGCTGGTGATGCTCGGTGTGTAGGGCGCCGCTGTACTCCTGCTTGCTTCATGGCTGGTCGACCTGCTTACTTGCCGCAGGTCGCCCGAGGTCGTGAACGAGACTCTCTGGAGAACCGCCTGCTGATCCTGCGGGATATACGAAACGGCGGTGACCGCGCTGTCGGGACTCGCGGGGGGCGACGACGCCCAGGAAGGAGGTGAACTCGGCGCCTGGTCGCCCGACAGGGTCGCCGAGGAGCCCACGGCGCTGTCACTTCCGTGCCTACCGCCTGGAAAAACGAAGATATCGGGTTTCAACTTCTGTTTCGTGAGTCAATTTCGCAATTATCCCGGCACTTACTGTTCATTGTACTACCGGAGAATTTATACATAATAACCTTCTCTTTCTCTAGACTAAATCGGAGGAATTCAGGAGGAAAGTATAAATTTAATATAATTGAAAGGTGCTTTGAGTCATACTTTGATTAAACGTGAAGATTAAATAAAGGCGCGAGAGAGAGAGAGAGAGAGAGAGAGAGAGAGAGAGAGAGAGAGAGACAATGATTCAGCTTCTTCTTAGTAACTTTAATTAAGTTTTCTTAAAAGTTCGTTTAAAGTTCACAGGTTAAGTGACTTTATCGCTTTTTCTCGACAGTCACTGTACATCGATCGATACGCTTCTTCGCACGGAAAAAAAGATTTGTTACATATGAACAACTAAACATAATTTGCTGTATTTGCCACTTTTTCTTTGCTGCAGGAGCCAATTTCCTTACTAGGATAACAAGAAAATCTACTCTTGCAACAAAAAAGTAGCAAATTAGGTTTAGTAAATTATGTTTAGCTGTCCATCTGTAGCAAATTTGCTGCGTTAGCTACTTTTTTTTACAATAGGAGCAAATGTTTTTGTTATCATAGCAAGGAAATAAGTTTCTGCAACAAATAAAAAGTAGCTAACACAATGAATTATATTTAACTATCCATATGTAGCAAATTAGTTTGCTGCTGCAGCAAATCCTTTTTTCCCGTGCGTGTGTACCCAAAATATCGAAGTATCAAATTAACCGATCGCAGATTGATATCGCAGATCGACCGTTCGTATGCTAATCTCAGCGAAAATCGAAACTATATAAATTATACAATTTACCATGCAATTTCTTCTATCGCAACGCTCCGTCGCCTCTTCCCCGAACGCTTGGAAATACTTTTACAACGGCGTTGAATTACGCGAGACACGAACCTTCGCTGCAACCGGAAATGGACCTCTGCCTCTGTCGCCTCGGGGGAGCGCTCGGTTGCTTCGGCGCCTCTTCGATGTAAGGAATGTCCGGGTCGTCGAGGTTCAAGGTGAACGCGTCGGACATGGGTATGGTGAGACTGGCGGTAATCACTATGGGCGAAGATCTTCTGCGAGGATCGGCCGGATCCTCGCTCGATCCGCTATCGACACTATTGCTTCTACCCTCTTCTTTCCTGCGACTTCCTGGTCTCTTGGGCCGTCGTGGCCTTGGTCCGATATCACCGCCAACCCCGGCGGTCTGGTGGAGACACTGCTCTCTTGTCCACATCTGGGGAGCGGCAGAATTGCGTTTTATTTCCAGGATCGCGATCTATCGGTGAGTGTATGTCCTTTTTCTTATGCCTTTTCTAATAATAGTGAATATTCAGGCCCCAGACAGTATAAACTTTTAAAAGACGTCTTAAAAATATTTGAAAAACGTGTAAAAGATGTCCAAATAAAATGGGACGTCTTGTGGACGTCCTAAAGACATCTTTTAGAAATTTGTGCTGAGTAATGCATCGTTATCCGCACCTTCCTTTCCTTCTTAATATTATACAGGGTGAGTCAACAACTATTGTTGCTTGGAATATCTTCGAATGTTTCGTTAACATTAGGAAAAAAATATAACTAAGTAAAAGATTAATAAAAGGTTGTATAAAAAATTATATAAAAGATATAATAATAAAGAAAGTAATAAGAAGCGAGATAATGATAAAGAATATAAAGTTGAAAGTTAATAAAGAAAAATGACTAAAAATTCGACGAATTTGTGTAAATTCCCAATGAAATGACGAAATAAGGTCGCGCGATATCGAGTTGAATTTTCACTTTCGTTACAAAGCAAAGTTAGACATGTCAGGAGCTCGCGAGCGACTGTAGAAACGAGAGAAGCGATGTACAGCTTTAATGCCCCAAAGCGCATCTGAGAAGACAGTTGTAGATACAATCTCACGTATTCCTTTGTGAGAGATCATAAAATCTACAATAAAGAATCAAATTTGAAGCACTGTCATTTCTTCATGGAAAAAAATGATCTGTTACATATGAACAACTAACAATTTGCAATATTAGCCACTTTTTCTTTGCTACAGGAGCCAATTTCCTTGTTATGATAACAAGAAAATTTGCTCTTGCAACAAAAAAAGTAGCTAAAGCAGTAAATTATTCAGTTGTCCATCTAACGTAACAAATTCGCTACGTTAGCTACGTTACTTTTCTTGTTGTAGGAGCCGACTTTCCTGTTATCAAAGCAAGAAAATAGATTCCTGCTGCAAAGAAAAAGTAGCTAACACAGCAAAATATATTTAACTGTCCATATATAGCAAATTAGGGTAAATAAGCAGTATAACGTCCTCATCTTGGATTTTTTTTGAACTTTGTAAATTTGTATATTTTTATGCGTAGAATTGATTTCTGAAAATAAAAATTGTCGCTCACTTTTCGTTTTCTTGTTTTTTTATTTTTATGTTTTATGATGTCGGTAAGTAGGAAAGGCAAAGAATAGTTCATACATGCTTTTCTCTGCTTTAATCAAAAGCATAAACTGTTATAAAGCAGAGAATTGTTCATACATGCTTTTCTCTGCTTTAATAAAAAGCATAAACTCTATTATAAAACAGAAAATAGTTCATGTATTTACGAGAACGTCGTAATCGTGTGTACAGTTAGATCTAAATTTTAATCCGTATAGAAAGATAATTATTAAGTTTTATAAAATAGTGTATATGATTAAAGCAGAGGAAAGCATACGTGAACTATTCTCTGCTTTATAACAGAGTTTATGCTTTGGTTAAAGCAGAGAAAAGCATGTATGAACTATTCTCTGCTTTTTTCCGTGTTCTCATTCGTTTCGATCGCAAGCGCGAGATGTAACTTGCATGTGAGCAGACTGAAAATCATGCACGATCATGTGGCACCTTTCTCGTAGACGTCGTCGTTGCCGTAGTGGTCGTGGTGGACGTAGTCAGCGTCTCCTCCACCGAGAAGGTCTCCGCCTCGCTGCAGGGATCCGCTTCATCCCCGCATTGCCTGCAAAAGCACGTCTCGGAACTTTCCCTCCACTTTTCTCGTCTCGACGTTTTTTGATTATGATTCGCGGTGACATTCACACATAACGCGCGAGAAAAACATCGTTCACTCCGCGCAACGTCGACATCGATCGACAACCCGATCGTTCGATCTCGCTCACCGCTCGGATCGGATGACAACTTCAAGATGGAAGATACTTTCTTCGCATCAGAAAGTTTGTTCTTTTTAGCTGAACTAGCTTGCATTTTTTCTCCCTAGAGTGAAACGAATATACGATCTGGCGCGTGGAGAAAAAGGGAACGAAGTTCCAGCGCAGTACCACAGTTCAGCTAAGAAGAATAGACTCATATATAAGATGTTCGTTGAGTTTTTTTTCTTTTATTTTTTGCTAAACTTGTGCTGCACTGGAATTGTTTAATATTGTATACTTGTCTCACTCTCCAAAGTAAAAGAAATATATTTAACCTACATTGAGAGATTAAATATTTCCTACTCTCTTCAGATATTTTTTCTATCATAGTGTAGTTTAACTAACAAAAATAGATCTATTATACAGAGCGAGGCAATAACTATATATATTATCATCTTAAATATATTCTAAATATGAAAAAATAAGAAAAAAATTGAATAAACATTATAAAAAAGTACAAAAGCAGTCGTCTGTTAAGTAACTGCAGGTTAAGTTTATAACTGTTAAATTTTTCTGCAGGTAAGATAATCACTTTTCCTTTTCTTTTGGAATAAAATATGCAAGATGGTAATAGCTACCATACGGAGAAAAATAATTTTGCTTTTTTAGCAAAATCGTCGTTGTTACTGCATATTCGTAATGACATGAAAAAAATTTAGTTGACGTAACTAATTTTACAAATTATTCGTTATCAGAGCAGAAGTAGTTTCGTTGCCAGGATAGAAAAAATTTGTTGAGCGTATTTGTCCTAAGGATCACGTTAATTTGCTATTGATGCAAAATAATGTATCCTTAGCAAATTTATTTGCTATCGGAACAAAACTATATCTGCTTATATAAATCCATCATAGTTCTTATAGCAAAATAATTTGTACATTCAGCAAATTATATCCAGCAAATAGTGATTAGTACTCTTAGCAAATCTTTTTGCTGTTCATATAATAACGAAAAGATTTTGTTAAACCAGCAGAAAATTTGCTGGACCAGCATATTATTTTTCTCCGTGCAGGCACGGAGAAAAATAATTTTGCTCTTTTAGCAAAATCGTCGTTGCTATTGCATATTCGTAGTGACATCAAAAAAATTTTGTTGACATAACTAATTTTACAAATTATTCGTTATCAGAGCAGAA